CCCCAAAACCCCAAAACCCCAAAACCCCGTAAAGGTATATTGTTCAAGTTTAGAGTATTGATAACTTAAAAAATAATATACTCCATGATATAACATATTAAGGATAATTATTCAAGCGAACTTAAATCTTATATGATACCTACATTGTAATCACTTTTGTGAATTAAAAGTTTGATGTATTCCATAAAACATAGCAGCTATTCCAGATCCAATAAAAGGCATAACCATGTAAACCCAGATGGCTTAAGCAGAACCCTTTGCTGAAGTTACATCATCTCTTTTATCTAGAGCAATCATATATGTTGATTAACTCATACCAATAGCTGGATTCAAGCAGGCTCCAGCGCCATAACTCATTGAATAGCAGGCTACTAACACATGGAAGAGTGCAATTGCTTTGTAAGCTCTATTTAACTTTGAGTATTCTTAGTCATATCTAAGAATAAGATAGACTAGAGTGAATGAAAAGGTTTACAAGATTTCTTATAAGCAGACTCTTCCAAACCAAATGAATCCATCACCATAGATGTATAGTTCATCATCACTTTCTGGATATAAACCATACTCATTTGAAATCAATGCTTGTAAATATGAAACTAAGCAGCCAGTATAGCATCCACATAGCTAAACAAGCATCACCATGAGGAAATAGAATAAATCCTCTGAGAACTTCTTCTCTGTTATGAAGATAGCAAGAGATGTGGCTGGATTGAAATGAGCACCTGTGATATTGTAAGCAATTATAAATCCTATTATATAAGCGATTGCTCTAACTGCTACGCTCTATCCAGCTAAATTAAAAGCGTATGATATCAAGCAGGAGCCGCAAAATTCATAAAGAAATGCAGTTAAAATCCCCTTCTTCTTAGATTTATCAGATCTTCCAGTTTCCATGTTTACACTTACTTAATAATACTTTACAATTATTATTGGAATTAAGACTTAATCCATAACTTAGATATCCAAAATTAAATTAATATTTAGATCAGCATCAATTATCACCTTGTGCCAGATTTCTTAAAATGTCATCATCCCCATCGTCATCGTAATCGATCTGCCTTTGTTCTAATTCTGGCTACTACTCCTATTACTCGAAATTCTTTTCACCATGTTCCATATGGAGTCCCTCAAGTAGATCAGACCTGGCACTTTCAGTCTATTGTATCTTATTGCTTTCTTTTTGGTAGTTAACTTGCTATTAAGGTTCTGCTTTAATTTCATGCTATTAAGAAGGTTTATCTAACTTAGTCTTAGATCCCTCCTTATTATCTTGCTTTGATTATCTTAATGGTTATTTCTAAGCTGGCTTTTGTTAGACTTTCTTGGATGATTGGTCTTTACTACTATTGTCGTTGTTATTATCGTCCTCTAATAGTAAGTGTTATTTATCATCTTGCTCAGCTTCTTTAGTAGACATAAATTACATTGGCTCTGTTTATTTTTCAGGAGCATTGTCTATTTTTTTATGCAACAAATAAAACAATGCAGCGAATGCAGCTCCAGCATAAGGAACGAGAATATAGACCCAAGTAACTAGAGCTTGTTTTGATCCAAGACCAGATCCGTTCGAGTTGTTTACTCCAATCATATATACTGATTAAGCAAGGCCAAGAGCAGGGTTGAAAACAGCTCCAGATCCAAGAGTAAATGAATTACATACATATAGAGTGAACGTTAAACAGAAAGCTTGAAGAAGTCTGTCCACCTTTTGCATAGTCTTGTCATACTTAACAATCAAATAAACATAGGTAAAAGTGAAAGTGTGTAAAAACTCATGCAGGACTAGCCTTCCCCAATAGGGATCTCCATCTTCATTAAAATACAAGAAGTCTCCCTTCTAGTTTTTAGTAAAATCTGGGTAAATCTCGAATTGTCTGTATTTCGCTAACAGATAAGTAACAAATATTCCTGCTAATGCCCCTGCATATTGAGAAAGGATTGTGACTGCAAAAGCAGCAAAAGTTTTGCAATTTTTCTCAGAAATAAATACAGCTAAGGAGGTAGCTGGGTTGAAGTGAGCTCCTGAAATTTGGTATGCAATAATGAAACCCAAGAAGTAAGCATAAGCTCTTGTCAAAGAATCATGACCATCAGCCAAACTGAAAGCATAGGTTACTAGTGCAGATCCACAAAACTCATAGAGTAAGATGATGAATGGGCTGATTTGAGATTGATTATTGCCTTTCATATTGAATTATATTATTGGATATTATCTTTATGTGATCTATACTCTACAGATGGGGTTTTGGGGTTTTGGGGTTTTGGGG